ACAATTCTTTGGTGGCAAGATGGCGCTCAATGAATCCTGCAACAACTGCTTGACAAGAAAGCTAACGGAAGAGCTCTCATTTGACTTAACTTCTCAGATCTGTGAGTGCCTTTTTGTCTTAATCCCAAACACCTCTATGGTTGTGCGCGTATATTTTGCTGAGCCCGTCAGGTCTGGCTGTCATTCAGAGCAACAGCCAATTAGACAATGAGGTTCGGGACCTACGTTGGGCACTGTAGAGGAAGTGCAAGTTATTAAAAGATTACAGTGGAGGAAATGTCATGGTAGATTAAATGGAGGCTGACCGAAATAAAGACCTAATCACTTATAATATCTCCAATACGACTACATTAATTTTCGAAAATTAGAAAACATCGCTCAATACAGTCGTGTTAGCTCTGGAACTACAACAATCGAGTTGAGGAAACGAACTTAAAGAGCAAGTATCAAAAGAGGTGGGAGGAGAAGAAGACAAGATCTAAGAGCGTTGAGTTACCCAACTTTCACGAATGGCGCATAACACTAGCTGCGTTATGTTCATGTGATGAGATCGATTCTGACAAATTGATCTCTATAGTTCGGAATGAGTTGACGTTTGTGGTTTCTGGTGACCGTTGACAAGTTTATCACATGCAATATCCAGTTATGGTCGTCCACTTTCTAACAATCTGCCTACTCCTATTTGAGCAGATCTCACGACTTTGTCAATCGCACTTCTAGGCTCAACATCGGAAGCTACTCTAAGATAAGCACTTCAAAAATCTGCCTGCACACTTTCCACCTTCGAATCGTGAATTTGGGGAAATCAGGTAAATAATAATGAACAACTGATTGAGTGAAGAATAATTCGCGTTACTACAGGTGTAAATCTGGGACATAGACTCTATATGTTAAGGAAATAATCGATCTCTATTGGCTTTGTCGTTTTCAGCATTCCAACTCCCATGTTTACTACCCTTGATCGATCTCCATTCCTCATCAATTCCTTCCATCAGATTTGGTAGTCTCATTTACCCCATGATATTTTGCACTCAATGAAGAAAATCTGTTCACCCTGAAATTTGACCGCAAAATTGCGACTTTCAGATATGTAGGAGTATGGCAATTTATTGAAGTTGAGATGTGGAGTGAATATGGATTGAAGGATACAGAGAGACATGAATTAGCTCAGTTGGAGCAAACAGGCGACGTGAAATAGGGCAAGAATTATTTCAGCTTCGTTTATAAATAGATCTAAATCCCTCTTTTACTGCTGACCCAAACACTCCAAAACCCTCTGAGACAAGTTAAACCTTGCCAATTGGCGAAAGAAATCACCACCCCAACCTTGCCATTTCTTCTAAACTACTTTGACTTAATCACAAAAACACCTCTCAATATACCACATTTTTGCCTCCCCTACCAACAAATAAGTGAAAATCTTTAGCCTCGACCCACTCCTGCCACCTGCATTTCTTCAATCATTGTTTCAATATTGGCAGTGGCGAATTTGCAGCAGTGCCGTCAATGGCATAGTAAATTACTTACAGTATCACTGCTAATAGGGGGTATTGACCTTATCAATTTTGACAAAGATAGGTCTATCTCCTCACAAGCATGTTGGCCCAACCTGTGGAAATTAATGGTTATCACGATGCGGACCTGTTTATTTGAAACCAACAACTTTCTAAGAAACGAACAAGCAGGTTGAAGACCACAAATATCACCAAATCAACTAGTAATCATTCTCTTCCAACTTATCAAGGTGTAATTGATTCGAGAAATACTCTTACCGCTGTATTTGGGGATTTCATATCAACGTATGACTTAGTATGGAAAGTGAACCCAATTTTAAAAGTGGCGAATATTGGTATAAACATAATCTGCTAAACTAGGTAAAGGCATTCATTGGACAAAGAACATGTAAAGCCAGACATAGGAACCGCCTGTCCAAATCTAATAGCCTGCAAGCAGGCCTACCACATTGCGCGGTCACAAACTGTTCTCTTTTCAAACGTCTTCATCAATGACATAGATTAACTGTAACAGACAGTCACAGGCAGGAAGTGTTTACTTTACGCAGATGAGCTTGTTCTATGGCGTTACACACCAAGAAAAAAGGTTCAGAAGAGGACGGAAACTGCGTTAAATTTTGCACTCAAACTATAAGCACACTGGTACGACAACAACGGGATGGTTACCAACACATTGAAAACCGAATTCCAATCATTTTAACTGACTCATCACGACATAAATCCACACTTAAGGTGCACGGACACTTCTGTAAAAAAAATTAACGAGTTCACTTATCTCGGAGTAAAGTTCAACGCAGCAGCAATGAAATCGATGTGATTTTTCATGTGCCAAGCACGCAACTCCCTTGATGAAAGCCCAATTAGGTAAATTTAGGGATTGATTCTGGATTCCCTTATCCAATTTACTTTCGATATATTTCCCCTGAAGGCTAAGTAAAATGCAGAAAAAGTGATTTGCACAATAAAAGTAATGGTAATCAGGAAAACACCATAGTTGGAGCAATCAAATAAACATTTTTTTTAAAATTAACGTGAAAGTTTGTCACCCAAAAGTGTATGGTCTTAAAGAGCATGGATGATTGAGTATGGGCAGTGAAGAAGAGCAACATGGTTTTTCAAAGACAAGTCAAGTTGATATGAAAATGTAAAGTTGATTGTGGGGAGGTGTAATTTCAGACAGAGAGAGGGAGAGAGGTAAAGAAATTCTTTGTGTTTTTGGTTCAGAAGTTGAGCAAAATCTCAATCAGCGTATGAATTGCCCCTATTCANCAGGTTGAAGACCGCAAATATCACCAAATCAACAAGTAATCATTCTCTCCCAACTTATCAAAGGTGTCCTTGATTCAAGAAATACCCAATTTTAAAAGTGGCGAATATTGGTAGGAAACATAATTTGCTAAACTAGATAAAGGCATTCATTGGACAATGAACATGTAAAGCCAGACATAGGAACCGTCTGTCCAAATCTAATAGCTTGCAAGCAGGCCTACCACATTGAGCTGTCACAAACTGTTCTCTATTCAAACGCCTTCATCAATGACATAGATTAACTGTAACAGACAGTCACAGGCAGGTAGTGCTTACTTGAAGGAAATGTCGGAGTAAATTCAGAGAGTGAGGGCTTGTGAGTGCTAAATTCTCCTTGGTTTCAAACTTCGACAATGAAACACCCTCCTCGGCTGTGTCCACATCATGGAAGGAGTGAGTTAAGGGAGGGTGGTACTTCTCCACGAAATGCACCAACTGAGATCGACCCTCACTGTCTGCAGCAAATAAGCTCTGCTTGAAGACAAGCATGGCAGACACGCAACCGAGGGACCAGAGATTGAGAGAAAAGTCGTATTTCTAAATGATGGACGGGTGGGGAAGAACAAGATGAATAGATTAATTGCATTGCATTTCATCACCTATCACTAAGTAATCACTAAACTAGTGCTGAGGAATACACATCTAGAAAATATCTGATCTCTCGAATTTGCGTATGTTGTGGCTGCCTGAAATAATCTAATTGATTGTTTGAGTCAGTCAGAGTTACACAATTACTAGCTACCAATATCCTAATATTGGAAATATATAAGAGATGCGATAGACATACCTTCACGTGGGGCACACCGGAAACGTATTCTCATACGCCAAAAAGTCTATAAATCGGCAGTTGACTTATGAATTCAAATTGCCATGACCCCACTGTATCTCATTTTGACCACTTCGACCGTACTAATCTTACCTTTCCTCTTCCTTTGTGTCTGTTTGTCTATTTCTTTATCATCTTTGAATCATTCTTCTGTTCCCCCTATGCACTTTTCTCAACTTGAGGTTCCTCCCCTCTGTGAAGCCCAAAGCTACCTAAGGACTACTGATAAGTGTCATAAAGCAAGCCATTTAAAATAGATAGTGGAAATATCTTCAGTTGTCACACCAACTTTGTGACCATTTACTTTCTAGGCTTCATTTCTGCATGAAGATGGGTCAACTCTCGGTTGCATACTTACCTGTCCCTCTCAAAGTGACCGAATTAACAAAACCTTAAATTATCCTTTACTACTTACATTAGTTCCCATTTTTTCAGTAGGTGTTCCAGCAAAGCACGTAGTGGCAGCCTTCCTTTAAATTGTCTTGTGGGGTAGGGGAGGGGGATGGAGGTAATAGCCGGGTAGAGAAGGCGATTTATGTAACTTCAAGCAAATATACTTTTCCTACATCCAACAAGGTCGCCATTCTTTATTCTCCCTATGCCGTGGAAGTACCTACAATCACATTACAGCTCGCCTTATATCCAAGTAGCACTTCAGGTGGCCTGTAATCCAACGCGTGAGGATGATAGGTTGTTGCCTGTCCAAAGTCAGTCAGTCACAAACTCCTACTCTCCACATCAATAATAATGTTCCTATTCTTGATATCTCGGTGAATGATGACATGACTATGGTAAGAGTCGAGAGCACTCAAGAGTTCCACTAAGTAGAATGTAATCTCTTGAGGATCAGTGCTTTTGGCCTCCTTGTAAAACTCACTGGAATCAACGTACTCCAACACTAAGCCTGGATCTTCAACCTAAAATTCAGAGATACAAAATACCCTATTTAAATGGTTTTCGAGATTTGAATGTATAACCATTATCAAATTATAAGCCATAAAAATCTTTTCCATGTAAAATTGACCTTGATAATGTTACTAGGTTTCATCATCGTTGTGGTTTGGTTACAACTCTAAAGATTGTTAAGTTATGTGAGGTGACATTCAGTGGCATATTTAGATGCTAATTGCTTAACTTCATGTTGGTGGTAATAATTTTTCAATTCTGTTTGACCGATTTGTTTTGGCCTACAATACATTTTTTCTTTCATTTTACGGCATTTCAGAAGAGTTTTTTGTACGTACAGTCAATTTTTGCTTGATTTAACAAGAGATGTGACTGTAGCTTCTGTATTACCCCATTTCTTACTCCTTCATTTTGCGGTGGGTCGCAACACTAGTAAAGCCGTGACTAACTCCGTTATCTCTTATTGAGTATATCTCCCGATATTAGCTGTGTTACCACAAGAGTTAATACAAAGAACACGTCTATTCACACAAGCTGCGATACGGAATGTGTTCACGCAAGAAGCTCAGTCATATTCATCATGGCTGTTTTGCTAATTCCTTATAAAGTGTTGAAAAATTGTAATGAAGTGGAAAGTAAGAAAGCATTCCAATTGAAGCAAGCAAATAAGCATTCATTATCAATATGTAGTGTATTTTGCTCAAAATATTCAAATCACTTCAGTAAGTTCTCCTCAAGAACTGGCTGTGATTGGCCATTTATTAGGATTTGACTCAAAGGCAGTTTCTTAAAAGAGGGTTGCGTACCAACTGCATTGAAATCGGAGACGAGGAAATACAATTAAAACGAATTTTATTGATCTAACCACAGGCAGAACGGGACAGATGTCCACTACGAAAACTAAAAATAACTGAAAAATATTTTAATACAATCGGATCAAAATTCTCTTGGTTTCGATAAAAAACTTGTCATCAGAAAATAATCAAAATTTTCGCATTGATAAATATAAACTGAATGAGTGTCACAACTTTTGCTTTAAATATGTGCTTCAATGACGGCGTTTTAATAATTGGCTGAGAAATAAATATTAAATTAAATAACACTAAAAATACAGCAATTTAATTGCATTTATTTTACAATTAAACCAATTTGGGATTTCAACTGGCGAAAACGTTTGATATATGAATTGTCAGAGCGGGGTGCTCAACCCTTGCTGGTTTTCTAAACAATTATTCTTAAGAATACGATAGACTTACCTCCACGTGGTGCACCCTGGACAACGTACACGTGGTGCACCCTGGACAACGTATCTTTGTACGGCAAAATGGTGTGGTGCACCCTGGACAACGTATCTTCGTACGGCAAAAATGTCTATCACTCGGCATTTGATTTGATTTGACTTCGATTTATTATGATTAGGTTGAAACAAGTCTTAAAGGGAAATCGCCCCCGTCAGGGTGAATTAAAAAGGCTATAAGAAAAATCGCCCTCGTCAGGGCGATTCCAACGTCTTCAGATCCTCCAGTGGAATGCTGAAGGAATGTCACGTCTTCAGATCCTCCAGTGGAATGCTGGAGGGATGTCACGGGACATAAAAATCCAAGCACAGAAAACCCTACAAACCTTTGATGTAGACATATTCACAATTATGGAAGCAAACTTTTGGGATGAAAACTGAAGTACTACCAGTTCCCAGGTTACACCCTGTACCTTCTACCTAAATACCGACAAGTTGCAAGTGGAATTCTAACTGGAGTAAAAGAAGGCCTCACCTCACACTACAATCTAATCAAGCGTATGGGCTCGAGACAACACATGTGTAAAATAATCAGATTAAATGTTTGGAAATGTCAAAACCACTTCAGGATATATGCAGTCTATGATCCACTCCAGAATTGTCCCAACTTTGACATTCTGAACATCTCACAAAAAACTGTAGTATTAGGAGACTTCAACGCCCATTCCACCAGATGGGGCTACAAGGACACAAACATAGCTGGAAAGGAAATTGAGGAAATGCTAAACAGCATCCCTCTGGAACTTATTTACAGCAATGAGGATCCGGTTACATATTTGCACTACAATGGAACCTGAACAACTCCTGACTTACTCCTGGTTTCAAGTGACATCAATGAGCATACACGCCGCAAAATAATTGATGATCCTGGTTCTGGTCACAAACCAGTCATTGCTAGTATTAACATCGGCAGCAAAAGCATGTCAAGGAAAGTGCCAACTAAGCTATCATGGAACTTCAAGAAGGCTGACTGGTATACATTCACAAACCTTTTGGAGAATGAACTTCACACAATGAGACAATGATTGACCTGCCTGCTTGTCAGTGCTATCACATCACTTCTCAATCTCCTACTCTTTCACATAGCCTCTTTCACATAGCCGCATATTCTGATACTTCATCTTGTTAATTTCTGGCAAAAAAATATATTATCTGTGCCTGTCATCACCTTGCCCTCTCTCAATCTCTTTACTGTTGGAGTTGATGTCTGCTTAATCATACCAATTAAGCATTTAAGTTGGAAATCCCATTGCGTGTAATTCTTATTAATTTATTCAAGTCGCCAACTGTGACTACAAGTCTTGGTAGGTCTAAAACATAGAAATCATTCAACTGTAGAGGATGTGTGAGTTAGTAAAAGATAACGTTGGAAGAAATTGAGTGGTAGAGAAAATTTAGGAAGAGTGGTTGGGAGGGGGTGGAATGTGGAAGAATCGCATTCAATGGTGCCAAAGTAGGAACGCGATTGAAAGTCCGTCCTTAAAGACCGACGTTCACTGCAATATCTCTCGAAGACGCTGACCGAAATAAGGACCTAATCGAAGACGCTGACCGAAATAAGGACCTAATCACTTAAAATATCTTCAATGCGACTACATGCCTTTTCGAAAATTAGATAATATCGCTCAATACAGTCGTGTTAGCTCTGAAACTACAACTATCGAGTTGAGGAATCGAACCAAAAGAGCAAGTATCAAAAGAGGTGGGAGGAGAAGAAGACAAGTTCTAAAAACGCTGAGTTGCTCAAATTTCACGAATGGGGCATAACACTAGCTGCGTTATTTTCATATGATGAGTGCGATTCTGACAAATTGATCGCGTTAATTCGGAATGAGTTGACGTTTGTGG